GGGCCTACATTCCGGGTGAATGGCGGGGCCTACATTCCGGGTGAATGATGGGGCCTACATTTCGGGTGAATGGTGGGGCCTACATGCCAGTCTGAGAAAGCGAAATCGGTCATGGGAAGCCTTAATCATTTTATTTGAGCTTGGTAGGGGGTTGGGGGGGCACGGTGGGCAGTGGGTGAGGGGCGTGGGTGGGGGTGCGGTGTACCAAGGGGAGCTGTAAAATTTACCGGCGGACTCCCCACCCGAGTCCCCTTCCCCCATCTCTGCTCCAACATCCCCCCAACCACCTCCCCCCACCCCCCATCTGCATCACCCCTGGCGGCACTCCTGTTGTCAATACTGACCGTGCGTGCTGGAGAGCGGCGAGCTTGACTTGCTTCCCGGAGAGAGACACTCCTTTATCACGCTGCATGGAGCCCGCTGACCAGGAGGAAGCTGGGGGAGGGTCCGACACGCCTTCCCACGTAGGATGTCAATGACCTGGAGGGAAGTAGGCAGCCCCATGAAGTCAGAAAGGCCGGGCATCCAAGCCCTGACAAACCAGAACACCCCCCGCACCCAAATTCCCATCTTTCTGACCCCCACCACCCCACCTCAGACACCAGGGGGTGGGGGGGGTGCGTGTGCGTTGGGCGCCAAGAGCATTTCAGGGACACGGCCCCACTGAAACGTGCAAAAGACTGAACAGAAAATGAGGAAGCCATTCGGCCCCTCAAATCCGCTTCTACCCCACCCTGCGTCTTCTGAAGCTTACTCTGGCGTGTGGGGAGAGACAGAGGGGTGGGGAGAGGGAAGGAGTGGTGGAGGGAGTGCAGAAGCAGAGAGAGAGAGAGGGAGGGACTGGGGGGGTGGGGCTAATGAGAGGTGGAAGGAGACTGAGATTGAGAAAGAGAGTAGAGGGAGCGATGGAAAGTGAGACAGAGTGAGAGCGAGAGCATGACAGGCAGGGATGAGAGAAGGGAAGAGGGAGAGAGTGAGTGAACGGGAGGTAGAGGGAGAGGGAAACAGAGAGAGTGAGAGAAAGGGAGAGCAAGGCTGAGGGAGAGAGACAGAGGCAGGGAGTGGGAGAGAGAGGGAGGGAGTGCTAGAGAGAGGAAAGGAGGGATTGAGAGAGGGAGGCAGGGAGTGGGAGAGGGGGAGAGA